CCTGTCTGCCAAGTAGTCAGTACCTATCAAAAGTCGGTCCAAGGAAGGAAACAGTGGGTGAAACCCGGAAGAAAGCCGTCATGGGCCCGGCAAAGACTCACTGATGCACAACCAACACAGATGAGCTGTGGCCAAATTTGCCTTGAAAAAAGTTTCATGCTGATTCTGACAGAAACGGGGTCAAGAACATCACAGTGCATCACAGTTTGTTGGTTATGGGGCTGCATTGGCGAGGCAGACGGCCCACCCACCTAGGGCCGGGGTCTGGTCCTGAGGTTTCTACCCTCTTAAAAGGAAGTTCTTTCCTTGCCGCCCGTCCCGCCAAGCTGCTTGCCTCATGGGTGGGAACTGTTGGGCCCTCTGTAAATAATTTCATAAGGAAGTACGGTCTACGACCTGCTCTATATCTTATCTATCTATATAATACTATATATATTCGCCCTTTCACACACAGCGATGGCAAAGCCCATCAAACAGAAACTAACACATTCATACACATTCACACACTGAGTGAAGGTGTGTGAAAGGGCGCATGTGGCCCATGGTGTAAAAGCGCTCCGGTGGGAGCAAGTACAGGTCATTTTACCGTTTATTCTTCTTGGAGATATTTGGGGCTGCCCCTGCAGATGACTTTTTATATTTAAAGTCATTTAAAGTCTGAAATTGAATTGCATTATTTTTGTCTGCTCCAGCATTCATATCTGATCTGTAAATAATTTGTCCTGTATAGGGTAAAAATTTATATTTTATTTTTGGTGTCATTATGCTGTCCTATGATGGCAAAAGACTAACATTTTTTCTCAGTGTAGAACTGAACTCTGTTGTCCACCTAAATTAATTGTAAGCAGAATATTGTAAATGTGTCAATTGTTTGTGCTTTTAATGAAAAAAATTATTGAGGTCAAACTTGACCTTTTACCCTTTACAGTACTCTGCCTTTCCATTGTCCAGGCATTAACTTTTAAACGCTCACTTGGCCTCATATGCCTACGTATAGGAAGCAGTATTCAGAATAAATCTATACGTTGGGTATCTGTAGTCTGGTAATGACTCACAAACTATACATAAAAACGGACTGGAGCAATACAATAAAATGCAATGATACATGTAACACTCTGGGTAGAAAGAATTGTGTTAGGCACACAGATACAGTAACTCTCATGAGGAAAGACTGGAGTACTTTGATAAATGGAAGCCATACTTACAAAATTATAGAATACAAAACAGGTGGAACACAGAAAGTATAATGTCATTTGTGACACATTGATGCTTCCAGCGCCGTAGCAAAGCTTCAGGTGGTTGGAGCGGTCATCAGCCTTCATTACCTAAACTGAGATCATCATTGTCTCTATATAATGATGTTGGCTTTTCAATAATGTTGGAACGCCAAGCCAATACAATCCAACGATGTGACTCAATACTACAAAACACATCTCATATATACCCACACCAGACTAAGACAAACTCAGTTACTCAGGTATACAAAACTGCACACTCTTGATTGGAAAATCAACAAGAATGATGAAAAACATTAAGAGATTTTTTTTATTACTGCAATTTGAAGTGAAGTGTTATCAAACTCACTTCAAAAGCAGATTAACTCATTTATATTTGACTCACAAACAAGATTTCACTCAGAGTTCAGTTACAACAGCAGCTCAGTGTGATTCCTGATAAAAATGCATTAATCAGGACAACATAATGAAATGCAATTGGATTGTTTATCAAGAGAAAATGTCTAATGGGATTATATCTGACAGCCAATGCACTGTGGGCCACATACACACATAACACCCTACAGAGCCAGAGCCACATAACATTATGAGAAATATTTTCTGCTGTACAGCACCTGTCATGACCACACACCTTAATCACTGCAGTGTGCATATAATATACAGAAAACACATCACACTAGAACAGCAACACCAGCATGAGAGCCAGTGTGCAGAGCTGCATTACCATTGCAAAAATACTTCCTAGCAAGTATTTGTGGAGAGCGATGTGTAAGAGGTGGAGGAGTCCAACACATCTAAACACAAAACAGTCACAGTGTGACACACAATAATTATATATTTATTAAAAACAGCATGACATGACAAACTGCAATTTTTACACTAGTTTATTGTAAAGTGACATAACAATGTGCCATTTATTTTAACAGTAATACACACTGTACAGTGAAAATAAAAAATAGCATCCATTGTACCTCTCTGTTAACCCCCTTAATGACAACCTAATGGAGGTGATTAAAAACAGAAACTCCTACATTGCCAATCCCCCTAGGTTTAATCTCCCATGATATTTCAATATTACTCTAATTTGTATATGTTGTTTTTGTATTAATAATGCATAGATACTTTTCAGGAAGTCGGAATTGGTGTATGCCTTATTTCCACTGATTAAGCATTAATTAAGCATTGATGATGACTGAGTAAACTGTGATTGGTTAGTTGGACTGACGAACAGTTGCCCTTACATGTGTCACTAACACTAATGGAGTGAAGCCTGCAAGCTAGTTCAGGCAGTCAACTCGAGCTGCGCTGCCATGACATGCCTTAGTCCATAATCACTAACCAAGCGCACCCTTCCAATCTGGCGGTCT